TGGAACCTCCAACTTGTTATGCAGGAAGAGGTATTGTTTGTACATCCCCAAGCTATAGATTGATGGTCCTACTCTGTATAGAGATGGTCCTACCTCCTTCTGCCACAAGCTCCTACCACATCCCTCCAAGACTCAGCAAGCTGGTCTTCGGTGGAAAGCGAAGCTCAGCAAAGCTCATGAAATCAGTGAAGTCCCATATGTGGGGCTGAATGACCCCATGCACCAGGGCAGGCTGGAGGGGAGCAAGCTAAGGGGAGATGGAGCCTTCAGCTGTCCAATGGAGGAAATAGCTACAGAGACACCACAGCTCAGAGGCACACAGAGAAGAGACAAGCAGCTGGTTACAAGATGCATCAGGGGAGATTCCAACCAGATACAAGCAAGGAAGAAAAGTTTTCCAGAGCAGTAACTAATTGCCAAAAGATGGACCCTGAGATCCAGTGGAAGGATCTCCCTCCATGGAGATGCTGAAATTCAGCCCTGAACAGCCAACCAAAATTGGCCCTTCTTTGAGCAGGAGGTTGTCCTCAAGCCCTCCATAGACCTTCCCAACCTTAATATTTCTTGGAAGGGGCTGAACATGGGCAGCAGATACCAAAGCAAGACAAAAGGACCTTCTCAGCACCTCCTACCACCCAGAGGTGTCATCACAGAGTGCAGAATGTCCCAAGCCTACAGGCAAGGAGACAAACCCCAACTCTCAGAAGGCTCTTTCAAAGCATCGTTGTGCAACTAGAGCAGCTCCAGGCCCATCCCAGCATGAGGAGTCAGCTTTGCTTGTGGTAAACTTGTCTTGAGGTCTCCTCCCAACCAAAATGAACAACAGGCATTTATGAAAAGCACATTAGTAACCCAAGGAGTTGCAGAGCAAGGTCCCACTTCTGGTTTTGCCTGAAACCAGATCTTCCCTTTTTTTGAATTGTTTTAAACTAAGAAAAGGAAGCAATTGCAAAGGAAAAAAAGGTCAAGTTTTAACTGATTTCACTAGTCAAATACTGGCAGAAATGGTATTATCTTGACTTTGGGCTACCAAGTATCTTAAGCATCAAATCAAAAGCTTTTCTGTGCCTATAGAAGACACTTCTTCGGAGAAGGCAAGCTGAAAACAGCCCTGGGAGAGCCAAGGCAGAGAGGGTTTATCTGAATCATGGAATCATTATGGTTGGGGTTGGAAAGGACCTTAAGACCATCCAGTTCCAACCCCTGCCACGGGCAGGGACACCTTCCACTGGAGCAGGTTGCTCCAAGCCCCTGTGTCCAACCTGGCCTTGAACACTGCCAGGGATGGGGCAGCCACAGCTTCTCTGGGCACCCTGTGCCAGCGCCTCAGCACCCTCACAGGGAAGAGCTTCTGCCTTATCTCCAGCCTGAACTTCTCCTGTTTCAGTTTGAACCCATCACCCCTTGTCCTGTCACTCCAGCCCCTGATGAAGGTCCCTCTCCAGCACCCTTGTAGCCCCCTTCACATACCACCAGGATTGCGTGGAGTCACTGAATAACCCCAAACTGTTGGGCTGGGAGAGGGATCCCACTCTCAGAGGTGCCTGATGGGGGTGATGCTGCTCTTCAGCATCTTGAGCAGTGCAAAATCCCTGTCAGATGAGGCATCAGGCTACTGCCTTTGTGCCACCGTGACATGAAGGATGAGCAGCTCAACTTCTCCAACCTGCATCTCACTCGCTTATGGCCAAGGGCCAGGAGGACACTCCCCAGACTTATCAGCCTCCCTTTAAAGCTTAGTTGTTCCACATCCATCATGTTACTCACCCCAGGATGAGTTATTTGATACCTGGCAAAGACATGAACTCTCCACCTTGATTTGCTTCATGCTTCCCATGCATTCAGGCTTCCAATCTTGATGCCACTGAGCTCTTTGACAGATGTGATCAAGCCCCATAGGGAAATACAAGCCAGGGTGACACCCTTTTGGGGAAAAGACACTTCATTTAAGCTCCTGATGAAGAGCCAACAATTACTGCTCTGCTTACACTGGCAGATCTCTGAATTCCAGAGCATCTGAGCATGGGTGAGCAGCCCTACAGTACTGCAGAGCCCATCTGCCAGCCTGGCCCTCCTTGCTTGCTGCAGGACGAGAGGCAAACACAAGGTTCCTTAGCTGAGCTCTCACTGGAACTGAACCACCTCAGTTTTGCTCCAAGCACAGCCTTTTGGAGGGAAGCAGGATGCGATGGGGAGGAAAGCGCAGCCATGGACAAAATGAGAGAATGTTTTGGGTTGGAAAGGACCTTAAGATCATCCAGTTCCAACCCCTGCCATGAGCAGGGACACCTCACACTAGACCATGTCACCCAAGCCCCTGTGTCTAACGTGGCCTTGAACACTGCCAGGGATGGAGCATTTACCACTTCTCTGGGCACCCTGTACCAGCACCTCAGCACCCTCACAGGGAAGAGCTTCTGCCTTATCTCCAACCTGAACTTCCCCTGTTTCAGTTTGAACCCATCACCCCTTGTCCTGTCACTCCAGTCCCTGATGAAGGTCCCTCTGCAGCATCCTTGTAGCCCCCTTCAGACCCTGGAAGCTGCTCTGAGGTCTCCAGCAGCTTCTCTTCTCCAGGCTCAACAGCCCCAATGTTCTCAGCCTGTCTCCATACGGGAGCTGCTCCAGCCCCTGCTCCTCCTCGTGGCCTCCTCTGGGCTTGCTCCAAAAGCTCCATGTCCTTCATATGTTGGGGACACCAGAAAGCACAAGATATTGCCAGCATCCCCTTTGTGGATCCATTGGCCCCTCCACTGCCCCATCAACAACAGGATAAGGAGGGGCCAGACCATGTGGGACAGCAATTACCCGGCCTTTCCACCCCATTAACCCAGCAGAGGATCACAGCACTGATGGGAACCTGCTGGAGGAGAGGCCAAGGACCAAGTTATCATTTGCCTTTCCAATGGTTCAAGAGAAACACCTACAGTGCTCATCCAATTGCACCCGGCTCCTTTTTCCTGCTACTGGAAGACAAGCACTGTTTCATTAGGGGCTTGGCTGCAATTCCTCCCTTATTTGGGATGCAAACTTTCTGCCACAGTTAGGGGCAAATATTCACTTCAACCTGTGTTGAAAGCCACAAAGCATTCAAGCAGGCTGGGCAGAAAACCATCTCCACCCACCGGGACCACGCTGGTTACCCCTGTTTCAAAGGCACACATCCAACATGGGTCAAGGCATGTTTCCAGCTCCTGCTGTTGCTTGTGCAGCTGCTAACTAGTCTACCTTTGCCAGAAACAAACCTTGCCACCATTCAGATTGATTTAGATCCCTGGTTTAGGAGCCAGTTGCACGCATGAGCTCTCGGGGCTTAGAGAGACAGTTGTAGAATCATGTTAAGACCAGTTAGTGTCACAAGCTGTCACCTCTTAACCAAGCAGGAACACATCCCCATGCAGATGTGAGACAGAACAGCACTGGCTTCACCCATGCATTACCCCCTATGCTTGTCACTCTGCTGTCATGCAGCAAGTCAGTTCTGGTGGCTCAGTTTTGAATATGGGCCCTTAGGGAAGAAGCACAAGTGGGGTTGAGATCTGCAGGCAGGCTCTTTGCTCGAGGAGAAAGGATTTCCTACCAAGCCTAATCCCCTGTAGACAACTGTGCAGACACAGATCCCATTAGAGAGGCTGAGCCCTGGATCTCTGCACATCAGCTCGGAGCAGAACCACATCCTGGCTGAGCTGCACAAAGCCTCCAGTCACTGATACTCAGGGAAAACACCACTTCCAGTTTTAATGGAAAGCACTTCCAGTACCTGACTTCCAACCAAAGTAGCACGAGTTGAAACACAAGAACAAGCAGCTGTAAATGAAAACATGGGAAGCACCAAGAGCTTTGGATTAGAGTGACCTGAGATGCCAGAGAAGGTTTTTCTGCCAACACAACAGCTTGCTTAACCTGGGATTCACTGGCATGCAAGCTTACTGGTGCCAGGTCCATGCTGACATCCCTTATTGTCTTCCCCTTGATAAGCAGCCAGTTAAGCAGCAAGAACCTGTAGTTTAGGTATCAGTCTGTGCCTGGTCCATGCCCGTGGGGAGGATGCAGCCTGATGATAGAGCTCTCATCCCAAACACAGGCACAGCTCCAGCACATTGGGACCATCCCCAGCACATCCACATCCCATCAGAGCTTGGTCCAGCCCCACAACCAGCATCATCCTTTCCTCATTGTGGCTGGACAATTTGGTTTCTGCTATGGATACAGTGAACTGAGCCAGAGCCCACTGCAGCAAGTAGGGGAACAAGTAAGGCCCCAAATGCAATGTCCTCTCTTCCAGACTAAGATTTAACCATATAGGGGTGATTAAAGCACACTTTGCTCATGCCAGATGATTTTCATCGCTCCAATGTGAAACCTGCTTCTTAATCCACCATCTTCCCCTCCCTCCTCCTTCTCCTCCCGTGACATTCACTCCCTCCCACAGCATTTTCCCACTTCAATTCTGTTTGTGCAATTGCACCATTTTCTCCTGGAGAAAAGGCACAAACCCCCCTGACATGTAAAACCCTTTTTCCCTTCCTCCCAGTGTACCCCTGACCCAAGCCCAGGTCCTGTACTTGGTGCTGTCATTGCCTTGTGTTTCCCCATCAAGCTGATTCAGAGTCTGAGAAGGGCAGCACAGCTCCACTACATCAAGGAGATAGGATTAGATCTAATCTTGTTTATCAGCACAATTAAGGCTCTCATTCAATCTTCTTCCCCTAGTCTGGAGAAGGGAAAAGAAAAGATCCAAAGCACTTGGCAACTCTGAAAAGGGATTAAAAGTCCACATCAAAGTCACTGCGGGCAGGATGAGTGTCACGATGCAGCAATACCTGCTTCCACCAGAAACCTGGTGTTTGCTTTTGTATCCAAAGAAAGGCACAAAACACCATCTCAAACTCTCATTAGCAAACCCCCCAGCCCCATTGCCTGCAATGACTGTGCAGAACATACAAAACCAGCTTTCCAACAGCACCAAAGGAGCACGAGGGAACAGGAAAGGCACCAGCTCAGAATTCAAAGTCCTCATTAGCCATGTCGATTGCCCAGGCAAACTTTTCCCTCTGTGTCTTGTTGTAGATCTTCTCAATGGGGACACCAAACTTCTTACACCTACACAGACCACAAAACATAGTCACAGAATGGTCTGGGTTGGAAAGGACCTTATGATCATCCAGTTCCAACCCACTGCCATGGGCAGGGACACCTCACACTAGACCATGTTGCTCAAGGCTCTGTCCAACCTGGCCTTGAACACTGCCAGGGATGGGGCAGCCACAGCTTCTCTGGGCACCCTGTGCCAGCGCGTCAGCACCCTCACAGGGAACAGCTTCTGCCTTATCTCCAACCTGAACTTCCCCTGTTTCAGTCTGAACCCTCTCACATCAGTGGGATGTGCTACCCATCCCACCCTGCTCCCACCGAAGTGGTCCTCACCTTAGTGTGCAGCATCTTTCACCCACGCAAACTCCTTTAGCCCCATGCTCCTCAAGGAATTAACTTTGTGTCACTGCCAATAAAGACATTCAAAGTAACCCCTTCTGGCCCTAAACCCCAGTTATTTGCAGCAAGGGAGGCCTTAGCTTTGGAATGCCCCATCCCTGGCAGTGTTCAAGGTCCGGCAGGACAGAGCCTTGGGCAACATGGTCTAGTGCGAGGTGTCCCTTGGTCTAGTGTGAGGTGTCCCTGCCCACGGCAGGGGGTTGGAACTGGGTGATCTTAAGCTCCTTTCCAACCCAAACCATTCTATGACTCTACGTGCACATCTCTGAAGGATTATGTCCCCCATGGTGTGCCCAACACTTACCAAGCTATGCTAATCCTGGGGTCCAGGTAATTCAGCTTGGACGTGCCCAGAGCTATCTGCTTGTTCTCCTCTTTATCTGTGGCCTGGACATTCAACTTGGAAAGCTGCTCTTCCAGGCTCTTCAACTTCTTCTTCTTCTTCTCCACATTGCTGAGGGCAGAGGAAGAACATCACAGACAGCACGGTAAAGGGGAAAAGAAACAGAGGTAAAATACAGTTCTCCTGGTCTGCTACTGCCTGGAAGCATGATGGGAAACCAATGAGCTTCAGTTTAGAGTAGTCTCTACACTGACCTTCAGTCCTGTAAGGTCTGAACCTAGAAATAGCCCAGAATGGCAGAATCAAAGATGCCATTCAGCACTCACCTATTCCTCAAGGACTTTGACCTGGTTAAGACACTTCTATTGAAGTTATCACCACCAAGGCTGGGCAAGCACAAAGCCCAGCATGCAAAGACCACCTCCCTCAAATCCAGGCTCCATGAGCAACAGTTGTCACTGATAACCTGCTCTGCATCTCACTAACGCAGGGAAACAAGAAACCCCAAGGGTAAAACTTAACATATAAGCCTCGTTCCTCCTCCTGTCTTTAGGAATTAAGGCACAGTTGGGCTCTAGGAAGTGAGGAGCATCAAGGCCAGTCTGTGTATCCCCAGCTCCAACCTCATGCACAAAGGTATTTGTAGGGTAACTCTACACCACCAGCTTGTGTTGAAGTCTCAGTATTCAGTGAGGTGTTCATTATGTGTTCATACCACAAAGACACCCCTTGAAGGAGCTCTTTGCAATCCTACTGTTGCAAGGACCCATCCACAAGACCTTGACCCATCTACCAGGCTGCCATGGGACAAGAGGTACCCAATATGGGTATGTCGTGGTTCAAGCCCAGCCGGCAA